TATACCAACAAAGGTATATTTGTGAAACATTCAAAAAATAGTTGCCTCTTAGGTTTAATTTTCTGTGCTTGAGAGTGAAGCACAAAGAAGAAAGGCGCATTTTAAAAGGAAGGAAACAGAATAAGAAGCAGCAATATAGAAGCCGCTTTTGGCCTTACTTTTTAAATTATACCTTTTGTAGTCTGATACAAAATTTTTTAATTCATTATTTACTTTTTGTTTGTATTCTTTGTTTTTTACTTTATGTGAGTTTTTTTTTTTTCGATTTTATCATACATATTCTTGTACAGTGAATCTTCTTGTGGAACAAAGAAGGGAAATAAGTGAAGTGATAATACAGGAGCCAGTGGAATGCCTGCCCTGGCGCCTCCACATTCTCTGACTGCATGTGGAGCTCGGGTTACATGAGCAATTCCAGCCGGGCAGAAGCAGAAACTTCTTGTACTTCACATTCATGATAACTCTATGTATCTAAACTCCTTAAAATTCAGGCAGGTTGAGAATTTTTTTTTTTTTAAGGAAAAACACCCTTAACCAATCTTTAACCTGGAGACTTTAGCCACCTGTCAAAATATCCCATCTTGTTTCAGAGCAGGAGAGAGGGAATATGACTATAACTGGATAAGGGATAGGGTTTTAATTTTTTATGAGGAGGAGGAGGAGGATACCAATATAGTTAGTATGTCAGCAAGCATTAATCTTCATTAATGTTTTCCATTCAAATCCATTCTTCTCTACACAGCTGTGCAAATACAAACTAAATGAGTCATTCTGACCAAGGCATCTAAGAAAAAAAAACACTTAATGTTGAGGGCCAAGGAATTAATTGGACAAACAGCACATTCTTTAAATGTGTGGGAAGCATTGTTCAAACTACCACATCATAGATTGAGAAGCATGCATTCAAATTCATACCACTGTAACACCCCTGAGTGAGAAGACAAACAGCAGAAGGAGGTGGAAATGTGTTCTCGACAAAGTATATCCACAGTGTCCAGAGTGGATATACAAGCAGCACTCGCTCCTTGCTGGAACTGTGCAGTGAGTAGCATCTCATTTAACGCCACAATAACACCACTATTCTCAGTTTATAAAAAAGGTAATCAGGAACAAAGAGGTCAAACCATGTACCAGAATTCACATGGCCAGTCAGCGATGGAGTCAGGGTCACAATTTAAATTCCAGTTGACTGACCCCAGAGACTGTATTTCTAACCATGACATTGTCCTTATTCTCTATATAGTTGCCATTATGCTTCCATTATGGAGAGTAAAAAAATGCAGAACTCGTTTCTTGTCCTTAATCAATTTACAATCTGATTGAGGAACCAGAATGGACACCTATGAAATGACCAAAACACAGGAAAAGGAGCATATCATTAGGGGCTGCATCTTTGAAGGAAGTGATTCATAGGAGCTGGGGAAACTAGTTATAATTCACCTGTGCAACTTTTGAGGATTTCTACCAGATCCTAAACTAAAAAACAAGATATATAGAATATAATACCTTACAAAATACTGATTCATTCCTGTATGGTGTGATTTGGATATTCAGAAAGGGCCCCCCCTTTAGAAATCTCCCTTAAGAAAGGACAGGGCAACCAACTTATTCCCCAGCTGTATCTTAATGGTTAAGAAAAATGCCAATAGCCTCCTCCAAGCCTCCTCCTATCCCCAAGGGGATAGAAGTTCCTGAAGTCTACTCTGACAGAGGTGTGGCAACCTCTCCCAGCCTCCGGATACTAAGAAGCAGGGAGGAGACAATTTACATCATCCCTTTGGTCCTTTTCAATTAGAAATTAACCATCCCAGGGCCTTTGATGGACAAGGGCAGGTTTGAGCTGGGACCAATGAACAAGCTCAGAAGAAACAGCAGCAGTGCTGTAGAAAAGGAGAAACCGGAGGAGAGTATGGGCATACCAAAAATTATTCTGAAATGTATACCAGATTCACAGCCCTCATTGGGAAACCATGATAAATGTTCTAAAGCAAGCTATTTCCATTCACTTTGCTATATTTAAATTTCTGTTGTGCTCTTAATGTTCGAGTGTACATGATTTTTTAAACCACTGCACTTTTAACTAAGATGACATGCATGTTGCTCTCAACAGCAGTTTCATGGCAGTGTGATGCTGCACAAGTCATCTAGTGCCAAGCAGGATAGGCATGCTGGTAACAAGCTCCTCATCTGTGACTCAGGTTTCATGTGGAATCAGGTCAAGAGACACAGAAACACATCCCTAGACACTGGCTGGCTGAGTGGTCAACTGTATAGAGAAGGACATGCAGGCTTTCACTTTTCAGGCAGGTTCCCAGGTCAGCCCTAATGTTCCTAAGAACCCAAGAGGTGTCAGGGTTTTTAGGGAAGGGCAAACAGTCCTGAAATGTTCTGATCAAAAAGCAAAGAGCTCTGTTTAAACTCCTAGCCAATGGTTCTCAACTTCATAGAATCCATAGAAACACTGAAAAAAATATTCATGCTGTGCCCTACCCTAGTGATTCTGATTCAAAGGGTCTGCGGAGGGGTCTGGGCAGTGACTGTAACATGTAAGTGGGGTTACAATCACCATATCTTACATGGCCAAGTCTGAGATACCGTGAGCATCAACGAACGGAATCACTCAATCAACAGATGCTGAAATGAACAGAATTTTTCTGTTCTTTTAAATGCTTATTCTGAATTTTATTACTTTCTGTATCTCAAGAAACTACCTAAGAGTATGAGCTGCCTGAATTAAATCTTATTTTACTTACTAACTAAGTGATCTTGGATAAGGTAAATAATTTCCCAGGAAATCAGTTTTCTTAGCAATACAATAGGGTTAATTATCACATCAATATCATATGGTAGTTAAGATGATTATATAACATGAAATATATAAATTATTTAGCCCAATATATGGCATATTTTGAATGCTCAATAAATGTTAGCTACCCTGATTGATATTTCATATGGTTGGGCTGTGTCCCCACCCAAATCTCATCTTGAATTGTAATAATCCCCATGTGTCAAGGGCAAGGCCAGGTGGAGATAACTGAATCAGGGGGTGGTTTCCCCCATACAGTTCTCATGGTAGTGAATAAATCTCAGAAGATATGATGGTTTTATGCATGAATAAGATATGATGGTTTTATGCATGAGAGTTCCCCTGCACATGCTTTCTTGCCTGCCACCATGTAAGATGTGCCTTTGCTCCTCCTCTGCCTTCTACCATGATTGTTTGGCCTCCCCAGCCATGTGGAACCATAAGTCCATTGAACCTCTTTTTCTCTGTAAATTACCCAGTCTAGGGTATGTCTTTATTAGCAGCATGAGAACAGACTAATACAATGATGATGATGATGAAGATGAAAGAAAAAGTATACCACTTATATCTCAATAAAAAGGATGTTTCTCTAGACCAGGTGCTTATTTCTAGGGTTGGGTTTTAAAGGACTTGTGAAGAATTGGAATGTGAGAGTTCTAAAAACAAGTTCACATAGAGAATAACTGAAGGAAGTCAAAGTGTTCAGGATTTAAAAAAAAATCCAAGATGGCACATGGCACTGTCCTCAGAAATACAGATAAGGTCTGAGAGCAGGCAGCCTGATCATATGTATTTCTAGAACAGGATTCTTTTTTTTTTTTTTTTTATTGGATTTTAGGTTTTGGGGTACATGAGCAGAGTAGAACAGGATTCTTAAAGAGGGTAGACTGGGAATAGAATCAGAGGACCTGGAAATCTGGTTGAGGAAAAAAATGAATCATTATTTACATTAATCCCAAATGGAAATTTACATTTCTTTTAATTCTGAATATGGGTAACAAACTTCAGCAGTAGTAATAGTAACTGTGATCTTGTCACAATAGAAGTCACAGAGATTTCCATATCCTATTACAGTTGTGATAGATATCCTAAAATGTTATTGATATTTAGGGTGACCGACTGCCCTGGTTTGGTCTGAAGGGTTTTCTAGGACATGGAATTTAAAATTTGAGAAAATTGAGAATTTTTCTAAAATTGAGAAAATTTTAGGTAATCTATTCCTTACTTATATTCATCACTACAACTATCCCTCAATATCCAAGAGGAATTGGTTCCAGGACTGCCACCATCCACATGAATACCAAAGTTCAAGGATGCTCAAGTCCCTTATATAAGATGGCCTAGTATTTGTGTATAACATACATTCATCTTCCTGTATACTTTAAAACTTCTCTAGATTACTTAGAATACCTTATACTATGTAAATAGTGTTATAGTGTATTGTTTTTTTTTAATTTGTATTATTTTTACTGTTATATTGTGATTTTTTGTTTCTTATAAAACTATTTTCAATATGCAGTTGGTTGAATCTGTGGATACATAAACTGAGAATACAGAGGGCCATAATTTGAAATTATGATAGTTATCACATCACCAGATACTATTATTTAATGTATTAATGAAGAAGCACCTAAATTGCCATGTTAATCTTGATAAATATGTATCAACATAACTTGTTCTTTATGATGCGTTTGATTTCATTTGATTCATTTAAAAACATTATTCTGAATCCATATGCTCATCACTCTGCCAAAGGGGTCCATGGCATAAAAAAGTTTAAGAGGGAAGGAAGTGGGGCCATTAGTTAGAAAATGTAAAAAAACAGAATTAAATTCTGTTGGATCTGGAAACCTAAAAGCAGTAATGAACTACACTATAGCAGAGGAACTAGGCATTTATCTCAAAATAACAAAAACCAGATAATCAACAGATAGAGCCATTTTTTCCACTACCAGGAAATCTCCCTAAACCCTCTACTCCCAGTAACAGTATTTTCTGACATACTTTTATGTTGCAGTATCAACCCAATCTTGGTAGCTATCAATTGGAGTATCTATTTTCAATAACTAAAAATGCTTATCCTAAGAATCATAATTTGACAGATCTTAAAATTTCTCATAATTAATAAATGGAAATTTGGATTTTTTGAAAAAGCAAGTTTAAAGAAATGGTATAAAGAAACTCAAATGCTTACAGGATACCACTGGGCTTCTGATAGATGTCGGCTCCCATCTTGCCTTATCTCCACCGTTGACAGGGGTTCCATTACTCTCCCACAAGGCAGTAAGGGACTATTTCTCTTCCGATCAATGTAACTCCATGCAATCAGCCCAATGTGGCCAGAAGGCAGAGTTCTCACAATTGCTCTTGTTCCGGTATACACAGATTTCTTAACTTTTCTGTCATTTTTGCAGAATCTTCTGACTAACAGAGTGGACCGCTCCTTTTTGCTTTTAAAAAAGTCTTCTTCTACATCTTCACATTTATCAGGGAAGTCCTCAAAATGGCTCAAAAAGGTCTTGGCAGCTTGACTGTCACTAAAATCTTCCCTGGAAAAACTATCACTTGAATATACCAGATCAACCTTCTGGCAAGAGCCTTCAAAGCAAAAGTATTTTTCATTCAAGGTGTCACAATGATCACACTGCAACTGCTCATTCTTACTATCACAATTTTTTGCCAATTCCATTAGTTTACAGGTATATGCCACATAGTTTTTCTTTTGCTTCTCCTCACCCCTGGGTAGTGGTACACAATTTCCACAGTCATCTAAAATTAACTTTTCTGACAGGGTACAGAAAGTGTCTGACATTCTTCTGTCAACTTCATAATGAAAATGAAATACTGCCGTGCTGCTGTCAGGGTGTACTCTGTCTGTCTCTAGGATCGTCGACTGATTTCCCAAAGGACTAATGTCCATGGGAGGTCTGTCTAGTTCCAGTTGAATTCCAGGGAACACCGTTCTTCCCAGTGGAGAAGGAATTCCAGTTTCTAAACACAGGTCTTCCTCAGCAACAGAGTTGCGCATTTCATAAAACTGTCTCTGAGGAAGGCTATGCTGATGGTTTCTCAATATGTTGTTGCAGTTAATGTTAAGGTTTTTCACAGAATCTGGCATGCTTTTCTCCCAGCATTTTTCATTACTGTTCTCATCACTCACTATTTTCTCCCTTGCTACTGAGAGAATCTCTGGCAAGTTGCTTCCAGAAGATTCTTCTCTAAGTTTGTTCAGTCGTGAGATGGTATGAGAAGTCTGCTCAGTCTGTCTGACAGTATGTGCTTTTGGAATATTGATATCTGAGACCTTTTCACTACTTTCATCTGAAGCTGACTGGGCAGAAACAACTTTTCTCTGAGTCACAGGTATGAGAACAGAAGCTGTCATTTCTTCAGAAGTCATCTTGGACTAACACACAGGTTCCAGCTATTGCTCTATTTCTCTTCCCTGGTGATCATGTCAAGGTTTTAATAAAATGACTCATTATTATGACAATCTTAGACATACAACTCCTCCCAAGAAACAAAGGGATAGTTCCTTTCATTCAGGTGCATTAAGAGGAAAATAATTTTTCTCAATTATAACTTCTTATCATGAATATATATTTTTCTAGATCAGAGTTTTAAGATGGTAGATCAATTTTCTTTTCTCTGTTATCTGAAGCAAAATTTTTTGAAGACTGTTACTCAGGCTTGCACTCTGCAACTTCTGATACATCATTGACTTGCAATGATTTAAAAATCCAGTTTGAATGATTCCTGCATCCTGTAAGAAAAGAGATAATGTCAAACCACTGTGTCACTCAGTGAGTTTTTTTAAAAAATGAGCTCACACTCCCAAGATGTAGACAAATTTTGAGAAAAATGGTTGTTTTGTAATCAGAAGTTGGTTTTTATGTTTTTAGCAGTTATTTTTTTATTTAATATTTTAGAACTTCTGCTCCCAGCCAAAATGGAGTAACAAGGGCAGATTTATTCATCCACCTTAAATAACTAAAAATAAAAATTAAGAAAAAAATGGTTCTCAGACACTGAACAACAGGCAACACAGACATTGATCTCTGAAAGAAAAAAAAAAATGAAGTGAGTCCTAAAATGTCCTGGCTGGCTTACTTCTTAGAAAATTTCCAGGCTACAAGGTAGAAAAAGGAAACTCAGCTAAAATCCAGCTATTTACCTGCGTAGAAAAGAAAAAGTTGAGACTTCAGGAAGGCCGAGGAAGCTAGAGAAATAAGGCACATTAAGTAAAGAGGCACAGAGATAAGAATGGTGGCAGACATTTAATCAGAAACAATGCAAGCCAGAAGACAGTGGAGTAAATCTTCAAAGTACTGAAAGAAAAACTACTGTCAACTTCAAATTCTATACCCAGCAAAAATATCTTCTGCAAATAAAAATTAAGTAAAATATTTTCCAGACATATAAACCTGAAATAATTGGTAACTAACAGAACTGAACTGCTTGTAACTATTAATAGAGAGGGAATAAAACAATTTTCTATCCAATGTGGAAACACAATTATAAAGGATATACAAGACACTATGGGATTAGAGGGTGCTCATCATAAGCATGTCATTCTTTTTCAGGTAAAGCTGTTCCTCCCAAGACAAATAATGAGCAGTCACACTCTGCTGTCAACACCAGCTTGGCCTTGCCTTTTCTCTTTGTCAAATAGATATCTTTCTTTCCCTTTCTTCTCCCATACCCTCTTTCCCCAAAGAGTCATCAGCTCTCCCTTCTTTCCTTCCATATGTTTCCCTCAAGCACAAACACAGCTTCTCAGGTGAGAGGCTCCCAGTATATGCATATCTCTACAACTACTCTAAAAAAATCAGTGGACACTCTAGCATTCATATCTTTACAGGGAATAAACCAGCCCACACAGAGCAGCAGTGTCCTAGCTTAGCATCCTAATGAATCCTACCACACAGCAATAACTATTATCATTACTTTAAGAAACCTCCTTCCAGAACACTCCCTATGAATCAACATACATAGGGATATATGTATTTAACTATGCAAATACCAGATAATATTGGGCATTCTGTTCTGTACCTGCTTTAAAAATTCAAAGCATACCATGAACAACTTCTTAGGTGAAGAATTATATAGATAACTTTAATGGCATATGGCACTAACTTGAATTCAAATATTTGTTCTAATTTTTAAAGAGATTTTTCAGGCCACAGCCTTCAGATTGATGGCTAATATGTCCTTTCTTACCCATGAGGTAAATAAATTGAAGTTGGAGAGAGGGAAAACATTTTGGTGCTGTCTAGTTCCTGTCCTAAGGATGTTGCAATTATTTTTGTTAGCATTACAATTATCATCATCATTATAATTTTGAGACAGAGTCTCATTCTGATACAGAGTCCCAGGCTGAAGTACAGTGGCCCAATCACTACTCACTGCAACCTCTGCCTCCTGGATTCAGCAGTCACATACTGTTCCTTCTACCATATTCTCTATGTTAGAGGGAAATCACTAAGTATAATCCACATTCAAGGGGAACAGAATTAGGCTCTACCTTTTGAAGGGAGAGTATCAAAGAATTTGTGGACATATTTTAAAACCAGTCTGGGTTCAAGTGATCTTCCCACCTCAGCCTCCCAAGTAGGTGAGACTACAGCACAGTGCTTGGCTAATTTTTGTATTTTTTGGTAAAGACAGGGGTTCATCATGTTGGCCAGTCTGATCATGAACATCTGGGCTCAAGCAATCCTCCCACCTTAGCCTCCCAAAGTGCTGGAATTACAGGTGTGAGCCATTGTGCCTGGCAACTCTGCAATTATTATCTCGCATAATTCTCACTCAATGCTGCGAGATAGTATGATGGTTTTAAAATATGTCCACAAATTCTTTGATACTCCTCTCTTCAAAAGGTGGAGCCCAATTCCCCACCCCTTGGATGTGGGTTATACTTAGTGATTTCCCTCTAACATACAGAATATGGTAGAAGGAACAGTACATGACTGCTGAGAATGAGTCATAAAAGTCATTGGAGCTTCCTCCTTGCTGCTCCTCTCTCACATGCTCTGAGGGTAATCTGCTGCCATATTGTTAAGGAGAGATCCCTGTGACAAGTATGAAAGGTTCTTGATAACATCCATGTGAGTGTGAGCCATCTTGGAAGTGAATCCTCCAGTTATAGTCAAGACTTCAGATTACTGTACCTGCAACCTATATCTTGACTGCAACCACTTGAGAAACCCTGACAGATAAGCCTTTTCCCACATTCCTGACTACAGAAACTGTGAGATAATATATGTTTATTGCTTTGAGCCACTGCATTTTGGGCTAACAAACAGTGATAGATAACTTATACAAATAAATTCTGCTATCCACATTTGAAAGATTAGCAACCAAAGCACAGAAAAGCTAAGTGAATTGCCAAAGATCTCTCCACTAGCAAATGATAGAGATGGGATTCAAATCTGGGAAGACTGACTACAGAATCTCTTCTCTTAACCAAAGACTATGCTGCTTTGTCTTCCATCTAGTCTGAAGCCCTAGGGGTTTGGGTTTCTGATGTCATCTAGCTGTGAAGACCCATGGATGATAGGAGAAGCCTATCTTATATGTGGCTTTGTCTCTGGAAGGCTGAAGATATACACAGACATCGAAGCAAAGGTCTTTGCTTTGCCTCCAGCTTACTATCATAAATCATGGATGAACAACATTACAGGGAGCAGACTTTTTAGAGCACTAGACTTGCTTCAATCTCAGACCATTACTTTATTTAACAAATATTTGTTGAGTATAAAATTAAATAAGACAGGGATCTTGTTCTGGATTTCCTTACCAGCTGATAAGTCACCAAAATACAGTGTAAATAGAGCTATAATCTGCATTAACACAGAGGAAGAACATCTAAAGCAGATAGTGGGGATGAGGTGGGAGTGATTTCCAGGGAGGGTTTCCTTCAGAAGCTGACAACTGAGCTGAGTTTCAAAAGGTAAGTAGGAAGTAGTTAAAGAGGTGGGGTGGAGTTTTCAGGGAAGAGCAAATGTGGGCAGTCATAAAAAGAAACAACCAGACAGTGGGGTCTGGTATGTCAGGTAAAAATTTTAACCACTTTGGGGTTTGATCTCTTCTCCTGTAAAATAGAAATAAAACCACCTACTCCATCAGGTTGTGAAGGAAATGCTTTGAAAACCAAAAATTCAAGAAAAACATTTATTATTCTATGCCTTGAAATATCTTGATAAAAAAGAACAACCAAGGGTTCAGCGGGTCTGTTGTATCATTGACACAGCATTGAATTTACTATACCAGATGTACACACTGCCTTCACTAGGTCCACCCAAATTTTAATTTCAGTTCTACATCTGGGATCAACTCCTTAAATCTAAGTTACATCATCCTGAGCTGGTTAAATTATCAATTTTGAGACATACTTTCCAAATCTATAATATTGAGATGAAATATATATATATATATTATATGTCAGCAGTAGCTGACCCATCAATAACTGTTAACTTTCTATTTACTCTTAGTCAGTTATAGGTTGTTTTTAAGGGAAGTTGGTTGAGTTAGGTTAAGGTTAGAGTTATAGTGGCATTAGACTGTTGGCTAGAGAAAACCTGAAGTACTGAATAAAGATCATACTCTAGTGGGTTTGAAGAAGAAAAAGATTGAAGAAGGGATTCTTCTTTCCTTAGTGTGTACAGGTTTAAGAGGGAGATTGGGTAAGTGCTAGCCTGGGAGAGGTCAAAGGAGGTGTGGGCTAAAAATATGGCAGAACAAGATAGTACTTGTCAAGATAGTATGTCCAATCTTGAGATATTTAGGGATAGGTAATACAACTAAAGAAATTACTGACTGGGAAGTAGATCTATGGAGATGCAGGAATTGCTGGAAATTCTAGCCAAAGCATTAAGACAAGAAAAAGAAATAAAATGTATAAGCAGAATCAGGAGTGACAGGGTAAGGTTTCAGCTTCAGGAGAGGGGACTATGGGCCAGGAGTAATACTATTGATGGGTGTTTTCATGGGCTAACGCAAGGACTGTCAAACTACATCCTGAGTCCCAAATCTAGTAAGCCATCTGTTTTTTATAAATACAATTTTATTGAAACACAGCCACATCTATTCATATATGTCATGTCTGTGGCTGCTTTTGCATTATAATAGTAGAGCTGAAAAGTAGAGACAGATACTATATGATCTACAAAGTTGAAAATATTTGCCACCTGGCTTTTTACAGAAAAGTTTGCCAGCCCATGTACTAAAAAAAAATGAGTTAATGAAATGCATGTTTAGAACAAGAAAACTATGTGGGAGGCTTGATAGCTGTCTTTATTTATTTGAAAAATTGAGATGAGGAAATGGGCTCATCTTGTATTGTTTCAAAAGGTCGGATCAGGGCTAAGACATGAATTATTGGGGAGGTAAGTTTTGGATCAGTCTGATAAAGAATTCCCTAAATTTTAGAGCTTTTCAACAAAGGGTGAGCATCTTGGATAATGGTCTTCTTTCAATTACTGATAGATTTAAACAGAGGCACATTATTCAGTATCAGGGATGCTTAATATATGCTGAACAAATTAACAGAGCGAATTTGGAATTTTCACTCTTTGGAACGACAGAGTGAAAATGGATGAGTGTCTACCAAAGATAATTATAAAAACAATGACCTAGTACTGAGCATGTATTATCTATCAGGCATGTTCTAAGCATAGTATACATATTTTCTCATTTAATCTTTGTAACAACATTATAGGTAGGGTGGCAGACACTCCAAATTTCCCCCCAAAATCTATTCTT